TCGGGTAATTCACTGAATGATCAGTAAGAATTGAATAACTTCTCGTTACTAAATATTTATTCAAATGTGAAAACGGACATAAGCTCTGGTAATTTAATTCATTACAACTCAGGTACTTGAAATGGTTGTACTTCAAATTGTAAAATTAGGTAGGTATATTAAGCATTGAATATGTAGAATATAATTAGTAAAGATACGCCCGAAAAAGCCATTGTATGGCGAAATACACGTTGCATTTTTGTAAAACTGTTTAGTGAAAATCTCACAATAAAGTGTTTTTAAATACTTACTTTAATTATGGATTTTCATCAAGTATCGGCCAATTTCATCATAGATATGCAAACATGCCACTATAATAGTGGCATGTTTGTCACTTCACTTGGAGCATTTGCACTTTTTATCAATATGTCCAAATTTCAAAGATGAATAACATCGTCCGCGAATATTTTATATGTCTTTCTTTCTTTTCCTTGATATCAAAACTTGACATAGCCAATAAAATTATTCCCTCGTTTTCGACTTCTTTTTTTAAAAATAGGTACCATCAAATAATTGAGTCGGGGTTAAGAGCAGAATGTGAATTATAATTAGAACTGTGCTGCCATACTCGTGAAGTTTCCTCTGGTAAACAAGATTCTACCAGGGGATATATCATTGCGGCACATTTTCGGAAGTAACTCCCAAAGCTTCCAATGATCTGAGCTGAGATTCTATTTGGTCATAAAGAGTGGTATGTTTCAATTTAGAATTTAAGTTTGACAAAATTAATTTCAAATGTGGTCGTGCATAGAAATCAACCAACAATATCGCTACCGAAACGAGATTTGAAACTTTCATCGGTAGGAGGATAACTATCTATTAGCTGTCTGGCCCGGAATTTCAAAGAAATTGCTTGAATAAGGTATTGAAACATATCTTCATTATCTATGAAATCATCTTCGTGTTCTTTCAAATCGGCCCCAGAAAGATAAACAATTTTCAATTTCACCATCAAATCTTTTGAGTTCTATCAATGGCAATTTCACATTCCGTTTATTACTTGTACTAATACTGAATATTTCAGAGCATTAAGTTTATTTTACTTCCCTGAATATTCATCATCTCGGAAAATTTAGGTATCAACATCATCAATGGGCGTATCATCTTGCAACATCAAATCAGATACCCTGTAGGTCAGTTATGTCGTATCTTGGACTCTGCAGCAATTTCATAGTCGCATCGGTTGAACGAAGTTCGGTGAAAAGTAACAGCCTTTAGAATCTTCATAGTCCTGTCAAGGTCGACAAGAAATATAAGCCAGCATTTCCCATTAAATTGACATTTGCTATGACTAAGTCCCAATGCCATCCGTTTGTGGCTTGGATTAGAGCAAACCATGTTTTTCAGACGGACAATTATGGGTGGCATGCTCTTGAGTAGGCAACCAGTTTGTTTGTGTTAACTAAATATGGACTAACGAAAAATATTGTACACACTATAGCATTAGGTGTTATTGTTCTGATACACACTTACAATGAGTTAGTTATTAATAATATGAAATAATGATAATAGGTCAAAGTTCAGTTTTCTGTCTACCAAGATAGAACAGAAGCTTTTCTTCCACTTCAACCTTCCTACATTAGAGCTCTTTAACTAAACCTAGACTACTGTAGAAAAAAGGAAAGTGTAGAGAGAAGAAAGGGAATATACGAGAGAAAAAACAAACTTTTTTTTGAACATTCATTTCCTATGACGAGGTATAGTAATGAAAGATGTTTGTCGAATATTCAATTCATATGTACCGTTCATGTACTCAGGTTTCTCATCTTTACTTCTTTGATTGATATACTGCCATTAATTGAGGTTATCCCAGGTATAGACAATGCAGGTATCAAATTATTTATGATAGGTATAGGCAATGTAAGTATAAAAACTCAGATTTGAATGTAATCTAGTTAGTTTTGAAAATGGTGGAAAATAGACAAAAGTGTGTTTTTATAGTGTATGCTCAGTTTCTCATATTTAATCACTATTTTAATTAATGGGATATTCAGAACCAACCCTAACGTATTTGCACTGTTACAGTAAGGTACATAATTTTTTATTTTCAGTTCTAATTCACGAAGCAATTTATTTCTGACTAGTTGTTGTCCGCGGCTTCGCCCGCGTAAAATTTGGTTTGTCACATTAAGTCACATTAAGTTAAATAGTTACAATATTTTTTATTAACCCAAAACTTCGGGTTTCCAACTTCAAAACTGACAAAATTTAATACAATCTTTAAACCCTTATTTTTCCCCATTGGGGATGAACATTCCTAATCCCCTTTCTTGACGATTATTTACGCTACATATTTCTAGATTCTAGGTTCACTAGCTTCGCCTGTATGTTAATATGTGTCAGTTAATCAATAGGTCCCATTTATACAATATTGAATAGCATCAGCAAAAAAAAACTGAAAGGTTTAGAATGAAATATATTGGTAATTCTATTAATCCTACCCCTACTAATATTATAAATGCTTAAAGTTTGTGAGAATGGATGAATTCAATGTATGAATTGACGTTTTTTACTTTTTCACGCCTAAACAGCTCAACGGGTTCAAATATAAGTTGGTATATAGATAGATCATGTCCTGGAATAATACATAAGGGAGGTACTTACGGTAACGCGGGTAAAACAGTGAGGATTAGCTAGTATTGTATAAGTGAGTACCTATTGATTGACTGACACTCTTATATTAACGTACGTCTGAAGCTACTGAACCTAGAAGCTTGAAATTCGCAGGTAGCTTTTTTGTATAGCGCAAATAATTATCAAGAAAGAGAATCAGAAATTTCCACCCCCAAGAAAGAAAGAAGGTGTTCAAAGATTGTATTGAATTTCGTCAGTTTTGGAGTTGGAAATCTGAAATATGTTACCTATAAAGAAAATCGCAGAACTAACACAACCGTCAACGACGTCTGCCCTCATGCGTCTGCTCGCTTTCGGATTGTGTTCTCGGCGATGGCGCTTCATTGCTTAGACCACCTCTCTACCCCCGCGCATCGTCACTCATCGTCTTACAGTAGACGCGACGCGTAATGTCTTACTTCGATGCATCAAGTTAATCTTTCGTGATAACTTTTAAACGATTCGTCCAAATTACTCAGTGAAAATGACAAAGTTTATCTATATTGAATACTTGAAACGACAATTGTATCAATGTGCATTGTAAAAAGTATCCAGTTTAATTGTATTCATGGCTCAGTATTTTGCATATAGTGGCTACCACATAAGAGGTAGATATATACTATCGCGGACTTTTATTTATAACTATTCAAAATAAACAATCTTACGATACATTATCTGCATGTAACTCCAACGGTTTAGGTAGCGCACGCCAAGTTACTTCTCAGGGAGCAAGAATTTTTTCGACTTAATACTTATCGTTTTATTATGACGAACATTACACAAAACTGAATTTCACTAGTTCGGACTTCCATTGTCTACTATATAAAATGATTTGAAATCCCTGAAACAACTAAAAAAGAAAAATTAAAAATGAATAGCTGAAAATAACAATTATATTAAGCAAAATAAACCTGAAATGAAAATAATAGTGAAATAAAATATAAGTAAAATAGAACAATTGAATAAAAATAAAGAAATGAAAAAAAAGAAAATAAAAATAAAAAAGTTGATAGATTCCAAGTCACGTTAGTTCACGACGTTTCGATTGTTAGTATCTACAATCGTCCTCGGGTGAGTCATCACCCGAATACCAAACATATTCCAAGTCACGTTAGTTCACGACGTTTCGATTGTTAGTATCTACAATCGTCGTCGGGTGAGTCATCACCCGAATACCAAACATATTGTCGGACCACATGACACCGAAATACATATTCGACATAAACTTTTGCGGTTATAGTCTTGAACCGCAAAGAGTGGATAATGAATAGTCATTCCGTGAACATGCTCAGCAGAAATACCTAGTATACAAATTTTATGGGACTGGAATTCACTGTGCGGGAAGTATTTTTGTTTCAGTTTATACAGTATTGCAATAAGTACGGAAGAAACATTAATTTGAGGCCCCAAGGAAATGAGCGAATGAATATTTTCACAGACAGCCAAGCTGCACTTGAAGCACTGATGAACACCAAAGTTACATCGAGACTTATCTGGGAAAGCACTGGGAAAACTGGTGGAAAGGAGTGAATTGACTATATACTGGGTATGCCAGATACTGATCATTAATCTCATGTCATCTAAAGGAACAATTCGTTCAGGCCAGTCTTATACCTACGTAGTAGGATCATGGACTGACACCTATTAGAAAACAACTACTTTCCTGGTTAATACTAGATTTGATTTATAGCCAGTATCAAGTATTCNTTCAGCTGCAGGAAAACCCGGAAAAACCTGCAGCACCACATCATCTGAAGATCATGATCTGCCAATGTCGTCTCTCCCACAAATCAAAATGTAGGGTGTCTCCAAAGGCTCCAATAGATTCAATACATCACCAGAACACTTCGTGACCTAATCAAATGTCTTGCTCTGATCCGGAAGAACATAATTGAACAATGTAATTTTTTCCAGACTCAACCTATATTTTTCATGACTTCCAAAAGCGCAGTATTGTCACTATCTTCTAGACTGAATTCTTATTGTATTTTCATCCAAATATTCAATTACTTCAAAAGGCGAATATTTTTAAAAACGATAAAACAGTAGTTTTTAAGAATAATGTTTTCCCTATTTTTGTAAAAACTCAAAAGGGCGTCTCTCGTGTCGTAGAATAACAGAATCAATAATATCTATTTCTGGAACAGATTAATTTTTAAATGACTTCCAATCTTCTTTTCTCATATTTGATGTAATATTGCGTTTGTACGTTTGAAAACATCCTCTGAGTATACCTTCTTGAAAACCAAAATAAAATGTATTCAAGTTCTAGTTATAATAGAACGTGAAAAATTTACAATATGTACAAGTAGCGTATAACTACAGTTATAAAATATTCAGTTACTCACTGTTCTGCACTATCAATAAGCTGGTATTCATTAGATCTTCTGAACGCTTTCTGCACTCCTACATCAGCCCAAGCCACTTTGATGTGTTCGAAGTACTCCTAAAAATTCAGCATGCATGAAAGAAAATCAGAAGTAGTTCTTCTTGCTTAAGGTGTTTCATTTGCTTAAGTAGAACCCAACATTTTTATTCAAATATTATCTACTGATGATATTTTATAATATACTAGTACTATGAATTTCACTAGTTCGGACTTTCATTGTCTACTATATAAAATGATTTGAAATCACTGAAACAACTAAAAAAGAATAATTNTCAATGTGATGCGCGCAACAATTGAAAAAGTTGAACTTTGCCGTGATCAAGGAGGAGGCCATTTTGAAAATTTATAACCTTATGGACTAATTTGTAACTCTCTTGCAATTATTCATAAAAATAGAGAAAATTAAGTGAAAGTGTGTGGCATCAAATTATTCTTGAGAAAATGATCTTTCACAAAAAGCCGACGAGCCACCCTCTTTCCATTTGAAAAAATAAAGTTAACTGGAAAAATTCATATTTCCGACTGTGAAATAATTCTTAAAACGACTGTGAAGTCATAAGCCTCAAAGTCGTAGTTTTCCCATGTTACTTGATCAAGAATTAAGCGATTTACACGATCCATGGCATTATAAAATAAAAATGATTTTGTTTATCAAATATTGGCAAGTGAAGTATTGTTGTATTTAGAATGTCATTCTCGATAGAAATAAGTAAAATTATATAGGATGTCCTATTTAAAAATCGAAATTTGGGGTCATTTCTGTTCAAACCGGAAGTACGGCAAAGCAAGTACCTAAATATGTCAAAAAATGTAAATTGAACTATAATACACAACTCCCAAATTTCATTTCTCTATCTCCAATAATAAAAAGTTATAGGGGTGAGCCACCGTAGAGAATCACCCGGTAGTGGACTGTTAAAAAAATAAGGCGAATGTTAAAATTTTACGGTTTACGTACATTCGATTAGCGATTTTTTATGTTGGTACACTCGTTTTGAATATTCGGCGATTTTCTGCTATAGAAAAAAAATGGATCAAAGAAATTGCATAAAATTTTGTGTAAAAAATAGAATTAAGAGCTCGAAAACACTTGAAATGTTGACAGTAGCATATGGTGTTTGTACTTTGAGTATATAAATATATAGATTCAAAATACATTTGAAATATCTATAAAACTTGATAAATGAAGTAAAAAACAGCTTCTTTCCCTTTGTCATGTGGTAAAATAAATCTGTCAAATTTGACTTTTTTTTCAAAAATCGCCAAAAATCATTTTTTCTGTGAATTTCAAGAAATGCCAATGAAAAAAGTTGCTCGGTTTCCAACTTTGTACCCTTGCTCGAAATTTGAACTTTCTAGTGTCACTTCCGCTTTTTTCAAATATTTTTAATTTTTCGAATCTTTCGCTCTATCGATTCGAACGAAACATGATTCAAAGTTCATAATTTTGATGAATAAAAGACTTCAATGTCATATCTTGCCCAGAAAATAACCGCATTGGCCTGTTACCAAAAAAATAAATACACCTCCAGAAATTCATGTTTGTTGTTGCAAACTTTATCTAGTTTTTTCATTTCATTGTTAAACTGATTCGAATTTTCAATGTATGGACGTTAAAATGTCAGTAATCGAAAAAACGTATTTGTTTTCATTCTCATTACACTCGCATCCTTTTTTTTAGTATCCAGTTTGATTATGTTTCTGACCGATAATTCAGTTACAAACTAACCCGAAATATCATACTTTTCTGTAAACTAAACATTGACCTACAGTTTCATAACTATTCAATAGACTTTCTTTCTAGCGATTTGTACGAAACATGGTATAAAATTTCGTGATTTTAAATATTACAAGACTAATGCAACAAGAACATAGTAGGTAGTGATCTAATCGAAATAAAATTTTCCCTTAGTGGGCTTTTGAAACAAATTTTTAGTTTTGTCAAATTATTGCGTTTAATGAATCGAGTTGTTTTGTGTACATATGCTCGTACTTTTATAATTAACAAATAAGTTTTATATACAATGTTATCCACACACGACAAAGCGGAAATTGTTCTTTTATGTGGCGAGAATGTGCCATATCGAGAGATGTTGCTTGTATTTTCAATCACCGGCATCCAGGAAGAAATATTCACTTTTGTACCGTGGGAAGGATATTAAAAATATTCAAAGAAACTGGGTCTGTGGACAATCGTTTCAAGAAACGACATAATCCAATGAAGTATAATGAAGAACAACTCAATGTTTGAATTTCGTTAGTTCGGACTGATATTATATAAAATTATTTGAAATCCCTGAAAGAAGTGATACTAAAAAAAAGAATTAAAAGAGAATAGCTGAAAGTAACAATTATATCAAGCAAAAAAAAACTGAAATGAAATAACAGTGAAATAAAATACAAGTAAAAATAGAACAAAAATTCAAAATAAAAATAAAAAGTTAAGAGATTCCAAGCCAAGTTTCTTCACGACGTTTGGATTGTAAGTATCTACAATCGTCTTCGGGTGATGACTGGACTAGTTCCTCCGAGAGATGAATATTTATGGGTCATTCGAGAAGAGGAAGAGGTGTGTCAATAAGAAGAACACAGGTAAAAATCAACAACAATACCTATATACTTAGTAGAAAGCAGATCGAATTAGGACAGTCTACTTCCGAAGACGTCATTTTACCTATATGGGGAGCGGATCGAGTAAGGTCGGTCGACTTCGAACACTTAACAAAAATCGCCAGTAGATGACAAATGAGATTTTGTCGAAACGTCGTGAGATCAATCCCAGTGAGGATAATATCACAGAACACGGATCAAAACCCGAAAAATCATTTCAGCATATTCCTGCCCGTGAGAACCTTAGATTCAACATTTCAAACCTTCAAGGGGAGAAAAATAATGTTTGTATATCAGCGTCAATATAGTATTATGGTATATAATCTCAGTATAAACAAGTACATCAATAAAAAGTCTGAAAAATCATAGAAGACTATGGAATACAGCATCAAAAAACTATTCTTTATACACCTGAGCAGAATGGGTCTGCCGATCGAGAATAAATAATAATAATTGAAGCAGCATAAACAATAATTCACTCAAAAAGTTTAAGCTTGCGTTTATGGGCTGAAGTTGTGAATACGGCTGTATCAGGCTGTCTCAATCAGGAGTGGAGGAAGCTCTGTTCAAGACAAACCACCCTATGAAGTATGGCTCCGTGAAAAACCAGACAGCACACTTGCGAGAGTTTTTTGTTCGGAGGTATTCACTCACATACCAAAACAGAAACGTCAAAAATTAGATCCTGAAAGCAAAAAAGTTCTATTTGTTGATCACTGAGATACTATTAAGGGATACAGAATAGAGTATACTCATGAAAATAAAGTTGAATATAGATGATAAAGATGAAGAAAATCAAAATGATCATAAATCATTAGATATTTGTCCGGCTATTCTTTTTAAAAACGGACGATGTTAATGGTGAGTTCACCAAAGTATGCGAATGCCCTATGACACGTATTACTGTTTATTGAAGTGGAATACACCTGGTAAAATGCTTGTTCCCGTAGTTTTTTGAAAAGAATGGTGGACAGTGGAATACTCAATAATCTGTAAATCATACCTTTCAAAGCTGCTACTTTATGTTGATAGGGATGTGTCGACGAATTATGTGTGACAATGTTCGTATAATATGGTTCGTGGAAAATTGCAAATGAGAGATATTGCAAAATGTTTATTATAGATTTCAGTGATAGTTACGTCTAGTAAACTTATTGAATTATTCACCTCCATTTCGGTGGTGAATTCAATTTATGGAGGAATGGAATTGATAAACTTGCCAACTAACTGCCTACTTGTATCAGTAAAATATACTAAGATATCATCTACCTATATATACCATCAGTATAAAAAACTCGATCAACTGATTTTTATGAATGTTATTTTCAATTCATAACAAGGGACTCAACGGGTTTTCCATTAGTAGCCCTTCGCTGCATGAATTAAACTATTCATTACATTGAAAATAATTTTGAAACAAGACAATCAGTAAGTAGATCTAGAATTTCCTATTCTACTATAGGATTAACATGGTTTCTGTCTGAGAGACGGATGGAGCCGTGAAAATCCTAAAAATCGACAGGCTATCAATACTCGATATATATTCATCAGATGAAGAGAAAACCAAATAGACTAATTGAGATATTCAAAAAATGATTGGATTGATTGGTGATAAAAGGATAGCCGTAGGTGTTCTGATATGGTGTTTAGTTGGTGCTAGTCAATTCTTGGGAGCCCCTATGAAAAGTGATTATAAATCAGTAAAAAAATTAATGAGATATGTTGAAGGGACAACTGATAAAAAAAATTATATCTCAGAAATTCAAATGTCACATCGACAGGATACAGTGATGCAGATTACACATCGGACAACATAATTCGCCGTTTGATATCTGGTTTTGTTTTCTATCTAGGAAATGGATCCATCAGTTATTATGTATATTCGACTAGTGAGCCGCACCGATTCCGCACGGGTGCAATGCTGATATTAAGTATAAATTTACCCACCGGAAATTTGAGGGCATGAAGAAACAGTGATGGAAAGACAATTTTGTTTTATGAACGCACCTTTTTTCCTCGCAGCTGACGCCCAGTTGGAGTATTTAAAAATCTTTTCTTATTGCACATTCACAGTATAAAACGAACCTACATACAAAATTTCAGCCTGTTTTCAAATAGTTTTATTTTGGTATGTAACCTTTCACAATATCAAGAATAAACTAAGCTATATCCATGCAGCAATTTATCCCAAAAAGTCTCTACGTAATATACCTGGTGATTCTCTAAGGTGGCTCACTCGTATAACTTTTTTATTATTGGAGATAGAAAAACGAAATTTGGGGGTTGTTTATTATAGTTCAAATTACATTTTTTGACAAATTTACTTTATTTTCTCTATTTTTCTGAATAATTGCAAGAATCGATCATACCTAATAACAAATAATACCTATTCGGTATACTTACGCGCTAAGTCCTGTTATTCTAGTTATCCGTGACAAATAATTGAA